ATCTTACAGCTGATTGATGGAAACTGCAATGATTGATAGATGTTGGCCAATAGAAACTGCTCATTGGCATCTTCCCACCTCCAAGCAGCACCAGGGTACTTGCTATGCTTGCCATACCTTAGCTAGGCCCTGTGTGCAGAAGACCCTGGGAACAGCAGGAAGTCTAAGATGCCATTCTCCCTCCCTAGGTTACCCCCCCCCCCAGGTCAGAAGACAGCAAACTTGCAGAGAACTGGCCTGCCAATCTCTGCTGCATGGAATCCAGTTGAGGGATGACTTGGAGGCAACAGGAACACTGAGATGCCCCTTGGTCTGAGAGGAGCTACTGATCCTATTTGAAGCAGTTTTTCTGGTGACCCTAGAGCATTTCCAGTCCCACCCCACCCTGAACAAGACCGTCACAATCAGTGCGATGCTCTTAGTGAGTTAGACTTGTCCATTTCCTTGGAAATCTCCAAGGTCCAACCCAGGGTCCAACCAGGAAAACAACCCATTCTAAAGCAGGATTGCAGGGAATTGGATTCACAGGTAATGATCGATCAGGGGAGCAAATGAGTCACCAACAGTAGGAAGTGTCTACCATGCATCAGTTAGAGGGGCAAAGAGAGGAGGTGATGGTTCTGGGATCAGGGACCAGGGCCATCTGCAGAAGCTGGAGCTATGATACGCTTGTCCTATGGGAAGTGGTGTCATGGAAAAGATGCCACCACAGCACACAGGGGAAAGCCATCCAAGGTTGTCCTTTCCTCGTCTCCTGGCTCCAGACAGTGCCATCCGACAAAGAAGGAGCTCATGACGCACAGACCCAGGACTGGTCCACAGCTGTTCTGTTTTGGCATCCCAATGGTGCATGCAGTGGCTGACCCAGGTCCAGGTTCAGTAAATATACATGAATAAGTGATTGTTTGGAGTCCTGGTGTGGCACTGTAGGATAGAAAGAGGGCCAAGTATACCCCACATCACTGGTTGTTTTTAAAAGTCAATGCCTGGTGCAATCACTTTGGAAAACCATCTGGTAGTACCGTATTTATTAAAATTGAGCCTATTCTGCCCTAGCAATTTCAATAAATTATGTATGTAAGTTTGAAACTACCAGCTGTTCCGCGGGAGAAAGATGAAGCTTTCTGCTCCCGTAAAGATTCACAATCTTGGAAACCCTGTACAGGGTCCCTATGAGTTGGAACTGACTCCACGGCATATAACCACCACCACCATGTACCTAAGAGAAATGTATATATATGTATTTACCAAGGATTTATACTATATTGTTGCTAGCTGTGCTCATGGCAATAGCCCCTACTGGACCCTCCCCACATGCTCATCAACAGTGGGATGGATAAACAGAGTGCAATATGTTCACACAATGGAACATTGCATAGCAGTGAGAATGAATGATCTATATACGTTGAGTGAAAGAAACTAGACACAAAAGAATAGTTGCTTTGATTCCATTGATAGAAAAATGGATGAAGTTAGTATTTGGCATCATAAGTCAGCGTAGTAGATTTCCTTTGGGATGGTTGTCCCAGTAACAGCATGGGGATACTCGGGATTCTGGGGCACAGTATGTACTGTTTCTTACTCTTCTTTTTTTTTTTTTTTTTTTTACCTGAAAGGTTTTGTTATTATGTTGTTGTTTTTAGGTGCCATTGAGTCAGTTCAGACCCGTAGCGACCCTCTATAGGATTTCCGAGGAGCAGCTAGTGAGCTTGAACTGCCGACCTTGCAATTCAAACAGATTTGCAGTTTGGCGCGTTAACCCACAGCGCCACACCAGGACACCCAAAAATTCTGGTCATGCCTAATGCCCCCTTCTGCTTCTGGTGAGGTCCAAAGACTAATTTGACCTGGCTGCTAGGCCTAAACAGAGACTCCAGTAACTTTGAGAAGGAAATTGAGGTCAACATAAACCACACTCACACTAGAAAGGGAGGTCAATGGGGGCCCCTAGAGGACAGGCGGGGAGGAACCCACCGAAAGATGTGTATTACTAATGACTTTCTCTGCTTTGCTTTTCAATCCCCCAAACAAGCTCTTTCTTTGCTGTGGGCCTTTACTCCAGCTCTGCCTTCTCTCCCCATATCACTCTCTCTTGGCCTCTGATTGGGAAGCTAAGGCAGTGGTTAAGATTGGCTAAAGGGTCTGACTCACCTGGACTTGAAGCCTATCATCTTCACATCTCAGCTCTGGCACCTCTCTCTTGATTCAGAAAGTCTCCCATGACTCCTTAAAATCCGGACACGTTCTATTTGCTTATTGTAGCATTGGGTTACAATAGTTTATATCTGAGTGAAGTTCCCTGTATGCAGGAACAGTATCTGCCTTGCTGGATCCAAGCGCATAGTAAATAGGCACTCAACAAATACTTGTTGAAGGAAAGAAAGAAAGTGTTCTGGCAGCAATCAGATGATGGTTCATCTCCCAGCACTGGTCTCTTGTGCATTGTTTTCAAAGACTCACTTTTCCATTTTACTTTATCTGATTTCTGCGCATCTTACCTTTTGGGGAATATGAGAATAGGCCATTCTTACTTGTGGTTAAAGCATAATACTTTAGGTGAATCTGATCCCATCATTCTTAAACGGAAAGATTTTGTCATTCTGAAGTGCTGCAATTCTACCGCGCAAAGGGCAATATCCACTTAGAGAAACTGGAAGTGGGTTAGGTGGAAGAGGACATTCTTTGGACTAGAAGCTGCAGAGGCCCATTCCCCCTACTACCCAAAAGCAGAGCTTCTCAAGCTCAGCACTACTGACATTTCAAGTCAGATGATTCTTTGCTGCAGGCTGTCCTGTGCATTGTAGGGTGTTTAGCAACTCTTTTAGTCTCTACTAGATGTTGTTGTTGTCAAATTGGTTTCAATTCATAGCAACTCATAGAAATGGAAGATGAATTTGAACCACTGACCTTATGGTCAAGTGCTTATCCTACAACACCACAGGAGATACCTCCCCTTAAGTTGTGAACCAAATGTCCCCTAAAGAGCAAACTAGCATTCATTTCCCCCACTTGCTGGCCAGGAGCCACTGCTCCAATGAGGAGATGCCATGACAAGGCCGTGTGGGATGGACTTAAGTTTGCTAGCTCTACCACAGAATAGCTACGTGACCTTGGGCATGTTGCTTAACTTCCTGGAACCTCAGGCTTCTAATGCATGAAACAGGGGACAATCAAGGTACCTGTATCTCATAGAACCATCATGCTAATAAGATGAAATCATGTGTAGAACGTGCTTAGTGTAGCGAGCACCAGCAAATAGTAACTGAACCAAGAATTGCTATAAGTGGTTTTATTAAGCAATAAAATGATTACCTAATTTGTAATAAATATATTAAGAAATAATATTGGCAATTATCATTATAGTCATTTACACCCTTGCGAGCTGAGTCAGTAATAATCAACTATAAATTGCTGCGAGCTGCTCAGGGGCTCCTCCCAGATGGAAAAGGTGTGCTGATGTCAACCTTAGTGTCATGCTTTACAGACTACTGTTCACTCTTACTCTGTCTCATTTGAACCTCAGAGTAACTTCGTAAGATGCACAAAGCAGTCACCAAAAATATGTGGTCTCCATTGTACAGAGGTGGAAACTGAGGTACAAAACCACTGATTGATTTTCCCAAGCATAAGTGGCCAATAGCCAGCCTACAGCAGGAACCCTGGCTCATTAAACACTGTTCTCTATGCAGTCACTGGTAACCACTGGTCCTTTTACTCTCTGTGTAGTTTTGCGTTTTCCAGAATGTCGTAAAGTTGAACTGACTTCTTCCACTTAGCAATATGCAATATGTTTCCTCCATGTCTCTTTGTGGCTTTATAGCTCATTTATTTTTATTACGGAAGAATACTCCATTGCATGGCTATACCACAGTTTGTTTATCCATTCTTCTATTGAAGGACATTTTGGTTACTTCCGATTTTTGACAATTTTGAATGCTGTTGTTGTTAGATGCCATCGAGTAGATTCTGACTCATTGCAATCTCATATGTGTTAGGGTAGAACTGTGCTCCACAGGATTTTCAAGATTGTGACGTTTAGGAGCAGATCCCTAGGCCTGTGAATTCTGAGTGTGTTCAAACTGCTAGTAGTGGACTGCTTAACTGAACAATTCAGGATCTCCTGCAACTATGCATCAGTGTGCAGGTTTTTGTGGGAATGTGCATTTTCAACTCATTTGGATAAATATCTAGGAACATGATTGCTGGATCATACTATAAGACTATGTTTAGCTTTGTAACAAACTGCCAAACTCTTTTGCAAAATGGCTGTACCATTTGGCAGTCCCACCAGCAACTAATGAGAGTTCCTATTGCTCCACATTCTCACCAGCATTTGGGTGTCAGTGTTTTGTGTTTTAGTCATTCTAACGGGAGTCCTTGTGTAGCGCTGTGGGGAAAAGTGCTAGACCGCTCCTCGGAAACACTATACAGGGTCGCTGTAAGTCGGAACCTACTCCACGGCACTTAACGGCAACAACAACAATGGGTGTTGATATGTTAGAAAAAACAGCTGCATGTATGAAGCACCACCTGAGGCACAGAGCAGCCACCCTGAGGAAGGTAAGGGGAAGAAGACACTTCCTCAAATTGTCTTAACTCTCCGCATTTCAGATTAGAGAATGAAGAGACTAATACATATTGTTAGAAAGTTGGTGCAAGCATTTTCACAAACTATGCTTAACACGGTGCTAAGGACATAATCAGTACTCAGTAAACCGTGAACGTTGTTATTATTATCAATTTAGAATTTATTGCTGAAGAAGTGAAAATGTTAAGTACTTAAAAGTGTTTTAGTCAAGTTCAGCTTCAGGCAGCATGGAGTTAGGCTGGGGGTGAACTGGGCGGGGCCAATACAAATCCCGCCCCTCGACTCCCCTTCCCGCAAGCGTCCCGTTGCCCTGGCAACGCGCCACCTGGTAGCTGCCTGAGTGACGCGCAGCCCCTAGCATTGGGTGCTCCAGGGGACACTCGGCACAAGCAAGGACCGCATTGACAACACGATGGTCGATGAAGACTCGGAGAGCAACCTCGCCGACTCTCAGGTTGGGGATGAGAACGAGTTGCCGGTTATCCAGCTGTGCGGGCTGGTGGAGGAGCTCAGGTACCCACCGTCCCCTGCGGGCTCCCCTCCTCCCGGTGAGCCCAGCTCCAGGAGTGGACTTGGATCTGGAGTCCAGCATGGTGACAGTCCAAGTCCACAGTAAACACTGGGAAAGTGAGACCTCCAAAGTGGGGCAGAACTTGTCTTTGCCTTTACCCCTGCGTCTCCACTGCCACTGAGCGAACAAGCCCTGCATAGAGCCACATGGGCGGGGGAGAGAGAAGGGACTGGGACCGATGGTGGAAAGCACGGAGGATAATTGGTGAAGAGACGATCCGCCCAGGTGCGTCTGCCTAGTGCCAGGCTATGTACTTATCTGACCCCCTATTCCGCCTGAGGGAGTCCTAGGATCAGCACTGGACCGCAAGGTCAGCCGTTCAAACTCACCAGCTACTCCTAGGAAACCCTATACAAAGGACTCAAGGACTCTTAACAAAATTCAACCTGAGGAGTTAGGCCAGACCAGGTAACATCTGAGGCCCTTTCTAATGCTAAGATTCTGTGATAAAATTAATGTGGCAATGGTGTGTCTGAATCCTTGGGGTGAACAAAATGGACAGCAAAGGATGACTGGTCCAATGTTCGATATTTTTTGCAGTCCGTGTTTTATTTGTTAAAGCAAATAAATGGGTTATCAAGATTCTATAACGTACTTGGGATAAACTATAGGACTTGTTGGTGTCACTTAGAAACTGTTGGCCCTGGGAGCTAACATCTGGAGATAGTTATAGTTAATATCAGCTGAGATATCATTACAAATAGCCACCATTATTTTGTGTTTGTGAACTTACTGGATTATACAGCAACCCTAGGAGAGGGGTAAGGCAATGAAGACACGGAGGTTAAGCCATTAACCTAAGGTGACACAGCTTGTCAGTGGAAGTGCTGAGACGCAGACACAGCATTCGCTGGGAGTGTGGTATATGTATACTGAAGAAGAAAGATGGTTTGACTCATTGGGCTTTGCAGGCTTTTTCCTTCACCTTCAAACTCAGCCACATAGGAATTAGCTCAACAGTACTTGTATATGAGAACATCAAAGTTCTCTCTCTTTTCTATATACGCCATGGTTGTTGATATTAGTTGGCATCAAGCAATACCAACTCATGGTGACCCCATTTGGGTAGAGTAGGGATAAGTGCTCCTTAGGGTTTGGGAAGCAGGTCACCAAGCATGTCTTCCAAGGCATTTGGGTGAGCTCAAATCACCAGCCTTTGGCTGGTAGTTGAGTGCAAACTATTTGTGTCATCAAGACACTTCTTCTATTGATGTATATGTGTATTAGGTGCTGTAGGAGAGGCAGTGGACCACAAGGTCTGTTTGAACTGCAAGGTCGGTAGTTCAAACCCACCAGACGCTCCTCAGAACTCCATACAAGATCACTATGAGTTGGAACTGACTCAACGGCAGTTAACAACATCAACCATATGTATACACGTGTAACATGTTCTGTACATCCATGTATTACACATATTAATGAGTTGGTTGATTATGTGCCATGTAGCCAGTTCCAACTCATAGCGACCCTGTACAGAGTTTCCAAGGCTGTAAATCTTTACAGGAGCAGAAAGTCTCATCTTTCTCCCACAGAACAGCTGGTAGTTTCGAACTTTTGACCTTAAGGTTAGCAGCCCAACTTGTAACTACTACACTATCAGAGTTCCTTATATGTATACATGTTGTTGTCAAGTGACATCGAGTTGGTTCTCACTCATTATCAATTTAGAATTTATTGCTGCATAGGGTTTCCAAAGAGCAGCTGGTGAGCTTGAACTGCCAACCTAGCAGTTCAGAGTGACCTTGTGATCCAGCATATCAAGCTGCAGCACCACACCAGGACTCCTGGGGGTACATTGTTGTTGTTGTTAAGTGTCATGTAATCAATTCTGACTCATAGAACCCTGGATAGGGTTTCCAAGGAGTGGCTGGTAGCTTGAACCACTGACCCTGTGGTTCAAACTGACTTTACAGTCGAGCGCATTAACTCACATCGCCATACCAGGACTCCATAGACACACATATATGACATATATTATATATATACATGTGGAGTCCTAGTGTGGCGCTGTGGGCTAATGCGTCAGACTGCAAGGTTGGTGGTTCAAGCTCACCAACTGCTCCTTGGAAATCCTATACAGGGTCGCTATGGGTCAGAATCGACTTGACATTGCTTAACAAAAACAATATATGCATTTGTGTTATACATATGCACAGTATAACATGTTCTATATGTGTGTGTATTTTATGTATGCATATACACACACATATAACATGTTGTTTTTAGGTATCTTTGAGTTGGTTCCGACTCATAGCAACCCTATGTACAGAACGAAACACTGCCTGGTCCTGCACCATCCTCACAATTGTTATTTTTGAGCCCAATTTTGCTGCCGCTATGGGTCGGACCCGACTTGACGGCACTTAACAACAACAACAACAACAACAACATCTTGGAAGAAGTCCATCTTGTTGAAAGTCCTCCACTTTTTTGTAGACCCTCCACTTTACCAACAGTGATGTCCTTCTCCAAGGACTGATCCTTCCTGCAAGAAATCAAGCAATGTATTGCGTTAGGATATATAACATACATGGTACATATATGAGAAGTTCAAAAGGTCAGAATCCTGGCCTATGCAGGATAAGCTAGGTTTGTCATCTCGAGTTGTTTAAAAACCATCTGTTCAAATCGTTCCCACCACTTATAATAAACTTCCTGTGGAGTATTTCATCTGTTGGGTGCTGGAAATAAAAGAGCTGAGAAACATAAACCAAGGGAAGCATCTGAAGATTGTGGGCGTGTGTAACTTCAAGAATGTAGTAATTCAGAAAGAATTTCACAAACGGGCTAGAAACAACACATGAAGATGAAACCAGAGCTTTGTTTCAGCAATAATTTTCAATATCATCCCAATATGTGTGTTATTAAATACAATAAATGTGTTATTAAACACACTACAGGTCCCAGGGTGGCACAAATGGTTTGCACTTAACTACTAACCGAAACATTGATGGTTCGAACCCATCCAGCAGCACTGTGGTGGAAAGCCTTGGTGGTCTGCTTCTTTAAATATTACAGCCAAGAAAACCCCACGGAGCAGTTCTATTCTGTAGTAATACATGGGATTGTCATGAGTCAGAATCCATGGCAGTTGGTTTTATTTTTTAATAAACATTAATAAAAAACACCAAGTACTTAAATGGCACTTACTATGTAGTGGTCCCACTATTTGTCTGTCAGTTTGTCATTCTGTGGTAGCTTGTGTGTTGCCGAAATTGCAAACACTGGATATTCTCGATCATTTAACTGTATTTATAAAGAACCTGTACATAGACCAAGAGATAGTTGTTCAACTAGAACAAGGGGATACTGAATGACTTAAAATCAGAAAAGGTGTGTATCAGGGTTGTACCCCTTCACCATACTAATCTAACTTGTATGTTGAGCAAATAATCTGAGAAACTGGATTATATAAAGAAGGATCAGGATTGGAGGAAGAGTCATTAACAACCTGCGATATGCAGATGACACAATCTGGCTTGCTGAAAGCAAAGAGGACATGAAATACTTACTGGTGAAGATCAAAGACCACAGCCTTCAATATGGATTGCACTTCAAAGTGAAACAAAGATCCTCACAACTGGTCCAAAAAATAGCACCATGATAAATGGAGAAAAGATTGAAGTCGTCAAAGACTTCAATTTGTTTGGATCCACAATCAATGCTCATGGTAGCAGCAGTCAGAAAATCAAATGACATATTGCATTAGGCAAATCTGCAGCACAAGACCTCTTTAAAGTGTTGTTGTTGTTGTTGTGTGCCGTGGAGTCGGTTCTGACTCATAGCGACCCTGTACAGGGTTTCTGAGGCTGTAAATCTTTACGGGAGCAGAAAACCTCATCTTTCTCCCGCGGAACAGCTGGTAGTTTCAAACTGCTGATCTTGAGGTTCACAACCCGATAAAGAGCAAAAATGTCAGTTTGAGGACTAAAGCACACCTGGCCCAAGCCATGGTTTTTTAGTAGCCTCTTATGCATGTGAAAGTTGAACAACGAATACAGAAAAGGAAGCCCATAGAAGAATCGATGCATTGCACTATGGTGTTGGTTAAGAATATTGAAGGTACCATGGACTACCAGAAAAGCCAATAAATCTGTGTTGAAAGAAGTACAGCCAGAATGCTCCTTGGAATTGTGGATGGCTACACTTTGTCTCTAGTTCTTTGAACATGTAGTCAGGAGGGATCAACCAAAAAGAGGAAGACCCCCAATAAGATGGCTTGAAACAGGGGCAGCAACACTGGGCTGAAACGCTGCAACAGTGTGAGAATGGTGCAGGACTAGGCAATGTTTCATTCTGTTATGCTTAAGGTCACCACGAGTTGGATCCAACTCAACAGCACCTAACAACAACAACAACAACAATAACATGTGTCAGTCAGAGTCTTAAAGCCCTTACCTTCCTTACTACATCCCTAAAAGATGGGTGCTTTTATTATTCCCATTTTACATATGGAAAAACTGAGGCACCAAGAGGTTAGGTGTCTCGTCAAAGGTCACACATGTCTAGTAAGTGCTGTTGTTTTGTACCATTGAATTGATTCCAATTCATAGCAACCATATAGAACAGAGTAGAACTGACCAATAGGATTTCCTAGGGTGTAATTTTTATGGGGACCCCTGGTGTGGCACTTCAGGTTAATGTGCTGATCTGCAAGGTTAGTTTGAACTGCAAGGTCAGTGGTTCAAGCTCACTGGATGCTCCTAGAAAACCCTATATAGGGTCTCTATGAGTCGGAACTGACTCAACACCACTTATGGACACAGATGACCAGGTCCTTTTCTTCCATGGGGCAGCTGGTGGATACAAATAGCCCACTCAGTGCTTAACCATTCTGCACAGGACAAGTTATTTGAGATTTAAACTCTTGTATCAGTGGAACTTACTCGGTTACCCTCTGCCTTGCAGCTATGGAAACTCAGCTCTGAAAACCGAGACAGAAATGTTTGAGAAATACTACCGGAGACTGGAACCCAAGGATCATCGACAGTCACGATTATCAGATGTGAAAGTAACACCTGCCGAATTTTCACAGGTACACAACGGAGGCCTAAGAATTTCCTTTTTTACACTAATTCCCTTTAATTGCAAATGGTACTTGAGTGTCTGTCATTGTGTGTCCGTGTCTCCCAAGGACCATATGAGTCTCTCACCCTTAGACTTCTTTTGTTTGTCTGAACATTAAGGAGCCCTGGTGATGCTGTGTGTTAGGCATTGGGCTGCTAACCCCAAGATCAGCAGTTCAAACCCACCAGCCACCCCATGGGAGAAAGATAAGATTAGCTGCTCCCGTAAAGATTTACAGCCTCGGAAGCCCTATCGCCGATGGCTTCTCTCTCTGTCTTTTAACTCGTTTAAAAATATATAAGAGCATTTGCCATTTCAACACTTTTCTTGTGTACAGTCTAGTGGTAACCAGTACCCTGTTAGACTTTTGATTCTTCTTTGCCCTCCAAAGTTTCTCTTTCATTTGAGTCTAAAGGGAATTGGGTTCAATTCGTGGAATGATTCTCTCAGACTATCTAAATTTGTTTGAAAGAATTCCCTGAAACTGGGAGACTCAAACACGTATTTTCAAAACTCAGCCAGCTACACAAAGGAGTGAAGTGGACCTTGTGTGGGCAGTGAGAGCCCTTCTTTTGTCTAAAAGCCTTCGCCAGACATCCTGGTAATGCCAGAACAGCAGATTTTCAAAAGAAGCTGGACATCTGGATATTGGGGGGTGGGGGTGCGGGCAGGGTAGGATGTACTGATTTTTTTCAATGTGGATACTTCATTTAAAAAGAAATAAAAGTATGTAGGTCTACCCTTTGATGCCCATGCAAACTTGTCTTCAGGCCACACATTCCCTGGGTCACAGTTTTAAATGCATAAAAAATCCAAGATTTGTGTCCACATGCTTTTTGTGTTTTGTTTTGTTTTTTTCTGGACACTGTGTCCTGAGATACGATTTCTCTTTTGTGTTCTGTTGAGGAACCACCGAGTTTTGACTTGCTTGAACGCTGATCTGCATTGGGTCACCCTTTTTCAGACAGTCTTCGTTCATGTATGTTTGGCTTGCTGTCACACATAGGCCCTCAAAGCATTAAGGGTGACTTGTGAGATGAGGTCACCTCAGGCCCAGTACCCAGAATCCTCTCCTCAAGGGTTCCTTTTCCCTGGGTAATTTCTAGCAGGTTTGAGTGGTCATTTTTGATGCCCATCTTGGGCTGACTCATGACCAATTTCTACATGAGGGTGCCTTTATTGCCCTTAAATTTCAGGCACGAAGCAGGCGGAAATCCAGAGCCCGCTCAGGTACGGACCGTATGATAGCCCTTACTGTGGAGCAGAAATCTGAGCTGGTACAAAAGGAGCTGGAAGACACGAAGGAAGAAATCAGACACATGAGGGCAAATGCTGAACGGAACCTTCAGCATCATGAGGTATACCAGTCTCTCAGTATAAGGCATCCCTCTAACCTGGGCTTCCCACTCCCACCTCACCGAGACATGTCTAGAATATGTTCTTGTAATTATTGGTGCTTTGGAAGAAACACAGGAGGATAAGACAGATTGAGGACCTGCCTGTCTTTAAGGAGCTAAGATGAACATTTGACTAGCTGACATTAGAAATGTAACTTACCTAAGTGATTTACGTTCAAAATCAGCTTAAAGACAGCTTAGAAATAGAGCTCATTTTCAATCTGGGGTCTGCTTGAGGAGGTAACACATTTTAAATGTATGTGTGTGTTTTTTTAATAATTTATTTTATTTTGATGTTGAAAATATACACAGCAGAACATACACCAATCATTTCTACATGTACCATTCCCATACTCCTTTACCAAATTGTTCCTGCCCCACTAACATAAAAAGTTCACTGCTCCCTAAACTTCCTATCTAACCTTGTGAGTGTTGATGTCAATTTGATCCCATGTATATGCTCAGGGGAGAAGTGCTTTACTAATTAGTGGTGATGAATCGGGCTGCGAACCACAGGGTCAGCAGTTCGAAATTACCAGCTGTTCCGTGGGAGAAAGGTGAGGCTTTCTGTTTCCGTAAAGATTTACAGCCTCGGAAACCCCGTACCCCTGTGAGTCAGAACCGACTCCACGGCACATAACAACATCAAGTGTTTGGTGTAAAGAAGACTTAAAGGCTTAAGGCTAAAAGATGATTTTAAGGCAGTAGTTTCAGGGATTCATCTAGCCTCATTGACTCTAGAAAGTCTGCATTCTGTGAGAATTTGAAATGATTTTTAATGGAAATATTCAAAAGTATAGACAGTCCCTGGGTTACCAAAATCCAACTTAAGTACAGCCCATACTTATGAACCAACCCCTGTAAAGCCGATTGTATTAAAAGTATGAGGTACAAGCAATCAGTCATAGTACCATGTGGGCACTATTTTTAATATTATCACTGTATTATTATGTTAAAGATGTTTGTAGACCATCTGGATATGTTTCTCTAGTGATTTTTATGCACTGAAAATATACTCTATACTATGCACTAAGAAAGGAGCTCTGGTAGCGTAGTGGTTACGAATCGGGCTGCGAACCTTAAGGTCAGCAGTTCGAAACTACCAGCTGCTCCGCGGGAGAAAGATGAGGCTTTCTACTCCCGTAAGAATTTACACCCTCGGAAACCCTGTACAGGGTCGCTATGGGTCGGAACCGACTCGAAGGCACTTAACAACAACAACATGCACTAAGATGAACATTTGACTAGCTAACATTAGAAATGCAACTTACCTAAGTGATTTACATTCAAAATCAGCTTAAAGACAAGCTTAGGAACAGAACTCATTTTCAATCTGGGGTCTGCTTATACACAAAAGTAGAGAGTTTAGCACAATGAACTCCTGCCCTATGTGTTCCTCACCTAGACTCACCAATCATCAACGTCTGGCCACTTGTGTGTGTTAAACATTTGCCATCTCAACACTGTTTTCAATTTATTGACATTAATTATGTTCACCATGTTGTTTGACAATCACCATTATTCATTTCCATATTTTTAATCACCTTTAACAAAATCTCAGTGTCCCCTAAGCTTCGCCCTCCTTTCCCTTCCCCCTCTCCCACCCCAGGTCACCCCTAGACACTTGCTTAGCCTAGGTATTTCATGGAAATGGTACCATACAAAATTGGTATGATGTGATGCATTTCACCAAGAGGACTGGGAACCTGGGTTTCCAAATTATTCTTGAACTTTCTGGAAAGTGTTCCTTCTGTGTCTACTCTCTTAGGCTATTATTGAGGAAGCTGAGATCCGAGGGACTGAAGTTCAGAGGGCGGTACATGATTTTGAAAAAGATATTCTGAAAACCATATCCAAGAAGAAAGGGAGTATTTTGGCCACTCAGAAAGTGATGAAGTATATTGAGGACATGAATCGCCGGAGGGTGAGTTGGTAGGGGGTTTGTGTTTAGAATGGAAGACTAAATTCATAGAATGATGATCAGATTCTACTACATTTGACAGCCCAGCTCCATTTGGTCCATTATAAATGTTGCCACATATACAGATATTTTATATCCCCAAAGTGTGTTTAAAGTGCAAGTTTATCAAGGCTAAAAGTAATCAGACTTGTTGTTGTTAAGTGCCATCGAGTTGGTTCCGACCCATAGCGACCCTGTATAGGGTTTCCGAGGAGCAGCTGGTGAGCTTGAACCACCGACCTTGCAGTTCAAACGGCTTTGCTGTCTGGCGCATTAACCTATGGCGCCACACCCAGACTCCAAACACAATCGGACAGTTCACATTCACAGGGGATCTCTAGGACAAAGTAGAAGTTGTTGTTGTTAAGTACCATAGAGTCAGTTCCGACTCACAGTGTCCCTGCACAGGGTTTCCGGGTCTACAAATCTTTATGGGAGTAGAAAGTCTCATCTTTCTCCCGCGGAACAGCTGGTAGTTTCGAACTGCCGACCTTGATGCTAGCAGCCCAATTTGTAACCACTATGCTACTAGAGCTCCTTTATGTTACCAGAGCTCCATGTAGTCAGGTTAGATGAATATTAATGGCAGTGACTTCCTCTTTTTTGTTGTTATTTGTTTCAAGAGCTGATGTATTCTGAGAAAGGTGTGAGGCTGGGCTGGTTCAACCTGTCTAGTCAGGTGATACATGGAGCGGGACAGGTAAATTTCATGCTCTTTAGATTACCTTATTATGAGGGCTCTCCTTGTTTCCAAAGATACCCTGGTTGCACAGTGGTTAAAGCACTCAGCTGCGAACCCAAAAGTCAACCATTTGAAACCAGTCTTTCTCCTCTAGAAAGATGTGGCTGTCTGCTCCCATAAAGATTACAGCCTAGAATACTGTCTGATACAGGTCTACTGTGTCCTGTAGAGTGGTTATGAGTTAGAATGAACATGACCACAACAGGCCTTTTGTTTTTTCTTATTTCCAGAAACTTTGTAGTTTATCAAGCTTTGATCCTGGAGACAGTTTGGAAGGATTACTAATCCTTAAATATTATAAGTAGTGAAAATTATGTAAACTACCAAAAGAATAAAAGGCCAAAGAATCATAAGATTGTTTTGTGAGGAAAAATCTCAAGATGCTACCTTGTCATGCCTCTGCCTCTGTAGTAACACCCAGGTTATCTTGACTATAAGAGCAATGTAACGTTTGCATGTGGCAGACACAATCTCATCTGCTTCTCAGTCAGAGGTGAAATGCCACAGTACTACCAGCCCTGGGTAGAAGACAAAGAACCTAGGAGTAAAAGCCTAGATTTAGGGCTCAAGGTTGAACTGCAGCCCCAAACCTACCAATTTTTCAAACCAATGGGGACGAAGAAGAAAACTAGATTAAAAATATGCTTTGTTTTTTTTTTTTAGGATGATATGAAGGATAAATTATGTCTGAAAAACGTTTCTCTCAAAGTTCAGAGGAAAAAAATGCTTTTACAATTGAGGCAGGTATGTGCTTCTTCTTTTTATTTGCGCTCCTTTCTTTTAAGGTTACTGTGGTAGTCAAAATAATGCTCCCCACCACAAACCCCCTGCCACAGCTCCCAAAGATGCCTACATCTGAGTCCCCAGAATTGTGATTAGGTCACCTTACAAAGTAAAAGGGATTTACAGATGCAGTTAAATGAAGGATTGTGAAGTGGGGAGATTATCCTGGATTATCCAAATGGGTCCAATGTTATCATAAGGGTCCTTATGAGAGAGAGAGGCAGAAGGGTCAGAGCAGGAGATGTGAGGATGGAAGCAGAGGTTGGAGTGATGCCCTTTGAAGATGGAGAAAGGGGAAGGAACTGTGAGCCAAGCTAGCAAGGGAACAGATTTTTCCCTAGAGCCTCCAGAAAGAATGCAGCCCCGCCAGGCACCGTGATTTGAGCCCAAAGACCCAGGACTAAAACTTAACCTATTTGTATTGTTTTAAGCCACCAAGTTGGTGGTAATTTGTTACGGCAGCCATAGGAAACTCATACAGTCACTGCGCTGACAATTGGGGGCTTTCTGCAGACATACTTAGGGGGCAAGTGGTCTGGGAAGCACAGTTAAACTGTTGAACTGTGAAGCTGCAGGCTCCTGATGAAAGGCAGGAAGGCAGACATGGATCAGGGCCATGTGCCACGTGTGTCTCTTCTTTCCTAGCTCACTAGTAACTGGAATCTGGGCACTACTGGCCTGCCCATCAGAGGTGGCCACTGACAAGTGATAGAAAGTTGGTCTGGAGCATTAACATGTTTGTGGACTATTGCTTGATTGACTTGGGATCCAGAGAGACCTCGATAGGCTGAGACAGCAGTAACAACATGAAATGACCAAAGACTTCACTCCCCAAAATTTTCTTCATGGTAGAGATGGCTTAGTCATAGGTGCACAATAAAAGCACCTCACTTGGAGGCAGCGCTCTGGCCCTAGGCTGCCCTCAGAGAAAACACAGGACTCAGTCCAAGAAAGGGGGCTCTCGCTCTACTCTGCTCTGAGTAGCTCTGATCTAGAGATTTATGTCCCAGTGTGGGCTTCATGCTTGAAGAAAGAACCAGGAAGCTAGAGTTGATATAGAAGAGTGGACTGAATAGATGCCAAGGGGGAGCAGAAGCCACTTCAGAGGAGGTATGGGCAAGGAAGGTAGACAGACTAACAGGGAGGACCCCGAGGACAGAGCTAGGACTAGGGGTGTAAATGTCAGAGAAGTGGGTTTGAGTTCAGGGTAAGAGAAAAGGATGCAATAGTGGAGCCTCCAGAGGTGGAGGGGGGCTGCCCCAGAGGGAGAAGAGGGTTCCTGGTACCTCAAGGGTCATATGAGGTCAGGCATACTAGATAGGAGTTTAGCTTGAGTTAGAGAGTAGATGGGTGACCTTTAACCTTAAGAAGACTTTGATGAAGAGATGACACTGATGTGGGTCAACCTGGACAGAGACGCCAGGAAGTAGGTCCACGGAGCCAAAGCCTTCCAGAAGCTCAGTGGAGAGAGAACGTACCCTCAGGTGTGGAAAAAAGGTTGGGAGCATTTGAGCTGGAGAATGGGTCATACTTGGGTTTAAAGAATCGTGTCATTTGGGGGAAGGAGGGAGATACTGCCTCGCTAGAGCATGGGGGTGAGGAACAGCAGCAGCCCCGAGTTTGGCTATTGTATGCCATGAATGTAAGATGGCATTGACCTAGTGTGGAAGAGGGCACCTAGAGAGGAAGCCCAACACACTGCAGTGCAGAAATGCTTGATGATCAAAAGAGGGGTATTTATGGACTGATTTTCCAGGTGGTTCCAGGTTAAAAATAGCTCTTACGTAGCTCTGCAGATGAGGACTCTTCCTTTCAAACCCCGTTTGAGATCCCCCTCCCTTTCTCTGACCTTCTCTGACCCAGCCTTCTGTCCTCCCCTGGGTGCAGAGAGGGGCCTTTCTCTGTGTGCTCTCAGCTTCTGCACATCCCATGATGTCACATTGTTAGTAAATACCTCCCACCTGCCTGAACCCTGGTGGAGTATCCACTCATCAAAGTCGGGGAGCATCTTACTTACTCCCGTCTCTGCCTCGAGTGCCTAACACCATGCCCGGTACCAGGCAGATGCCCAGGGCATGTTTCTTGAGTGTATAATTGCTGACTTCCAGAGACTCACCAACAGGTGCAAGGTCTGAGCAGGCAGACCATGCTTGCCTTCTTCTTTCTGAGCTGTAGAAGGAAGAAGTGGGCGACGCTCTTCACGATGTGGATTTTCAGCAGCTGAAGATTGAGAATGCTCAGTTTTTAGAAACGATTGAAGCGAAGAATCAAGAACTGATTCAACTAAAGCTGACATCTGGAAATACTCTGCAGATCCTCAACGCATACAAAGTAAGGCTCTCTCCAATGCTTAGGGCCCTGAGGTTTCCCAAGCTGCAAATGGTTCCCAGAGCGCCCTTCACTGTCAGGTGCCTCCCCGCTTTCTCTGGATGTGACCAAGCCATGTAACCTAGAATTCCCTGCCTGCTCCGGCCCTGAATGTACATTACAGCCCGTTGTGGAACTTGGTCTTTAAAACAAATACTGACATCCTGCCCCACCTTCTCTTTTCTTTTTGAAATCCCCAGGTGGTTTTTAAGGCAATAAGTACTAAGTAGTAAGTGCTTACTACTATGGGTCTAAATGAAATGAAATTTATTTGCTTCTCAAAAGTTTTCAGTCCCCTCTTTTATATACAGTCCAGTTTCCTGGTTCTTTCAAAGTACAGAGCACACGCCGGGACACAAGATTCTAGATCAGGGTTACTCAGAGCAAAGTAGAGCAAGAGCCCCCCGCTTCTTGGTCTTTGAGAGTAGTAATAAGCAAGGAGCTCTGGTAGCATGGTGGTTATGAGTTGGTCTGCTAACCTCAAGGTCAGCAGCTCGAAACTACCAGCTGTTCCTTGGGAGAACGATGAGGCTTCCTGCTCCTGTGAAGATTTACAGCCTCGGAAACCCTGTACAGGGTATGACTCAGAACCAACTCCATGGCGCATAACTACCACCACCACCATAGTAATAAGCACGGTCCTGGTGCGGCGCTGTGGGTTAATGCGCCTGACTGCAAAGCCGTTTGAATGGCAAGATCTGTGGTTCGAGCTCACCAGCTGCTCTTCGGAAACCCTATACAGGGTCGCTATGGGTTGGAACTGACTCACTGGCACGTCACAACAACAACATGATATGGGTCAGGTTTCAGCTGAGCTTCCAAACTAAGACCAAGACAGACCTGGTGTTCTAATTCCAAAAAGCAGCCAATAAAAACCCTGTGGAGCACAGCAGTCTGATCTGCACCGGATGCTGGGGAGATGGAGCAGGACTGGGTAACATTTCATTTTCTATTATGCGTGGTGTTGCCATCGCTTGGGGGCCAACTGATGACAGCTAACAACAACTGCATAGACATAAGCAGGGCCTGTCCACCCACAGTAGACCAGGCTGTCCAGCTGCCCTGTTAGAGACCATATAATGGAGGGTAGCAAACTGACCCACTGGCCTGCGGACTCAGAAGAACATGTACAACCACGTGATGATGGGGAACACTCATGTTGAACCCCTATCAAGCAAAATGGTGTCTGCTCCAAAAGAGAATTCCATCCTCCATTTGTATACCTGTATTACATAAAACAAAATAGGGCACTCAATTCTCACTATATTTTGAATCTCATCAATTTAAAAATGTGTGAAATTTTTTTTGTTTTTTGTTTTTTTTCTTTTGTTAATATAAACGGCAATCTTGCCTTTTGGCCTGCCAAACCTAAAATATGTACTATCTGGTCCTAGCCAGGTAGGCATGGTGACTGTGGATATAGGTAACTCACAGGTGGGCTTTGTTTGACCCCCACGATGTTTTGCTTCCTTATAAAGTTTATTTTGTTGTTGTTGAGAATCTACTCAGCGGAACATTCGCTAATTCAACAGTTTCTGCATGCACAATTCATTGACGCTGATTACATTCTTCAGTTTGCAACCATTTCTTACCTCCCTTTTCTGAGTTGTCCCTCCCCAAGTAACATAAGCTCACTGCCCCCTAAGGTTCCTATTTAACCTTTCAAGTTGTTGTTGTCACCTAGAGCCCTATGGTGGTGGTTATGTGTTATAGAGTCTATTCCGATTCATAGCTACCCTGTACAGGGATTCTGAGGCTGTAAATCTTTACGGAAGCAGAAAGCCTCATCTTTCTCCATGGAACAGCTGGTAGTTTCAAACTGCTGACCCTAAGGTTATTAGTAGCCTGATTTGTAACCACTATGTTACCAGAGCTCCTTAGATCCCTGCAGAGAGTTCTTAAAAGAGCAGAATGCTCAAGGCAGACAGTTCTTAACAGTGAAGCTAAACTACTGTTTGGTTTTAAGAAGTCTGCAAGAGATATCTTTGGTTTAAGTTAAAGATGATCTCAGGGCAATAGCTTCAGCAATTCATCCTCCTCCCTTGGCTCCAGAAAATCTGGAGTCCATGGGAATTTGAAATTCTGATCAGTATCAGAATTTCCCCCTTTTCAATCAGGATTGTTCTGTAATGTTCAGTAATGTTCATCCAACTCTTCTGGTCTCGTGGCAAAGGAGGCAGTTGTTCATGGAGACAGTTAGTCACACATTTCTATTTCCTCCTCCAATTCCTGACTCTCCTGCCTCTTGCTTCAGGGGAATTGAAACCAATTGTTGTGGTTTGGATCCATTCACAAGCTTTGAAGACTTCAGACACTACACAGTGAACTGCGAGGTAAAACAGAAACACCAAACCTGCCAATAGACAGCAATTGCTTTAATCAGCTGTGTTAACCCCCAATAGCTCAAAAAACCAAACCTGCTGTCCTTGAGTCGATCACAACTCTTCTACAACAGAATAGAACTGCCCAGAAGGTTTCTAAGACTGTAAGTCAAGGCTAGGGAGTCCTGGTATGGTGCTGCGGGATAATACACTGGACCGCAAGGTCAGATTAAACTGTAGGCTCCTTGGTTCAAACCCACCAGCCGCTCCTCAGAAAACCCTATGAGTAGGAACCAACTTAACGGCACTTAACAACAAATCAAGACTGCCATATCTTTCTCTCACGGAGTGGCTGCTCAGTCCTAACTGCTGACCTGTTCTTGTTAATCAGTTAAGTGCTTTAACTACCACACCATCAGTCACTCCTTGTGCACTCCGCATACAGTGTTTGAGTTTTTCTTAAATGTGAATTTGAATGTGTTTAGAACAGGCTGATGCTTGTCTCACCTTTTCCAATGAAAACATGGGGCCCACAGAAGAAGAGTAATTGCTGGACTGAGACCACAAGGAGGAACAGAGCTGGAACTTGTACACTAGCGCTTTGCCCACCTGCCCCAAGCAACTTTTCCCTGGTGTGACGTTTGTCAAAAATATTATGCTGGCGTTCATAAGTTCACACTTTGGAAATATTCAATGAATCATATACTGTGTTACCTAATCTATGTTTTGATTATCCAATCACTGAGATTTCTGGATGCAGCCAGTTCCCATGACTCCCAGGCTCTCTGGACATGGTTATACCACATGGGGCCTGAATCTTATCCTTCGGAATAAATTAAGTAGCCTGGGGCACGTCTAGTTTTGTGGGGGGAAAGCCAGGGGCAAGTAGAACTACCGGTTCATAAAATGAAACTTCCAGGTTACAGAGTCGGATGGAGTCCCTTAGGATGGAGCCTGAACACACACCCAGTGACAGCTTCAAGGGATGGCATGGGGGCTGTTCAGATTACCTGTCCCATGTAAGCAGGGGACAGAAGCAGGAGGAGGACTGGCCCCACAGGAGTCCTGAGGTGTCACGAGAGGGTTTGAGGTAGAAGCAGGTCTCAGAGGTCCTAGGGGTATATGGAGTAAGATCTCACCTGGGTTTGAAGTGGGGCTCTGCTGGGCACCCTGGGCAAGGTGCTTCATTCCTCAAGGGTAGGGATTTTGTGTTTCAGGACCAGGCTGGAGCACCAGAAAGTTCACCTAGCTAATGCAGGCGCTAGGAGTCCTGGCATGGTGTTGTGAGATAATATGACAGACTGCAAGGTCTGTTTTAACTGCAAGATCGGCAGTTCAAGCTCACGAGCCACTCCGAGAAACCCCATACAGGGTTGTTGAGTTGGAACCAACTCAACGACACTTAACAAAAACAACATTGACAAACAATTGTTATGGATGATGACCGTGCAACATGAACAGTGAAATTGCTATCACTGAAATCTACACTGGAAAAATGTTGAATTGGCAAATAATATGAGAAAAAAATATTAGACGAACTGCTAGCAATTAGATATCAGGGGCTGGTGGGAAGCTTTGATATAGTTATCACTCAAGTGGGAGACCTTGTTAAAACTGTGTGGAATAACTTTCCTCTGTTACCATAAGTACTGTGTAGCTATCTACAGTCATCCAGAGCACAACCATGAACAAGACAGTCTCTTCTCTTCTGTAAGTTTCATGCATGAACCTGGGTCAAGGTGGTGCCTTTTCCTCTGCCTTTAAAAACATACCCTCCAGCCCTGCCTGGTGGAGTCTGTTAGCATTTCAGTGTGTGATGTAACTGACTGCAGACTCGTGGTCTGGTGCCTTGGGGGTTAATAGAATCTAAGATGTTCCTCAAGATTTCCTGCCCTGTGATGTATAAAGCCAAACAACCAAACCAGTTCCTGTAGAATTCATTTCAACTCACAGTGACCCCATGTGTACAGACCAGGTTTTCAAGGCTGTGGCCTCTCAGAACACACCACCTGGTCCTTTTTCTGAGGCACTTCTGAGAGAGTTTAAACTGTCCACATTTTGTTAGCTGAATGCTTAATTGTTTGCACCACCCAAGGACTGTTCAGTGATTTACCAAAAACCAAAAACGGCCTCGTCGCCACCGAATCGGCTCCGACTCATATCAACCCTAATGGGTTTCTGAGGCTGTAAATCTTTACAGGAGCAGAAAGCCTCGTTTTACTCCTGCAGAGCAGCTGGTGGATTTGAGCTGCCGATCTTGTGGCTAACCTTCTAGTGTTTATCCTACAGTGCCACACTCAAAAACTCACTGCTGGCAGGTCAATTCTGACTCATAGCTACCCCATAATAGAACCGTCTCCCCTAGGGTTTCCAAGACTTTGCAGAAGCATGCTACCTCATCGTTCTCCCACAGAACAGCTGATGGTTGAAACTCTCAGCCTTTTAGTTAGCAGCTGAGTGCTTTAACCACTGAGTCACCTAGTGAATGTAATGTTGCTGTTGTTAACTGCTGTTCAGTCGGTTCTAACTCATAGCGACCCTGGATAGGGTTTCCAAGTAGTGGCTGGTGAGTTTGAACCACCAAACTTGTGGTTCAAACTGACCTGGTGGTCAGTGCTTTATCCTCCATAGCACCACACTACGAGTCCATAGTTAATGTGAGTTATCATCAGAGCTGTAAATATCATGGAGTTCTCTCCCATGAATAGATTATGTTCTATGGCAAGGTGGACTTTAACACTGAAAGATGCTTAGAATGTGCTTGTCCTAATCACATAAGCCCATTGTTGTTGTTAAGTGCCATCGAGTCGGTTCCACCCGGTAGCAACCCTGTGTAGGGTTTCCAAGGAGCAGCTGGTGAACCTGATTCAGGAAATGAATCCTGCCAACAACCTGTGAGAGTCTGGAAGAGGCCCCTGAGCCCCAGATAAGAACCATGGCCCTAGCCAACATTTTGATTATAGCCTGGCGAGACCCTGGACAGAGAATCCAGCCACACTGTGCTTGGACTTCTGACCTGTAGAAACAGAGATAACAAACGAATGTTACTTGAAGCCACCATTTGTGGCAGGTTATTATGCAGTGGATTGTGCTTTTTCAGAGCTAGTGTTTTCAGTGACCTACACCCACACTCCACATCACACTTTTAGCTCTAGTGATACCTGATGGAGGATACTCAGCTGCTCACCAAAAGGTCAGTGGTTCAAACCCACCAGCCACTCTGAGAAAAAGATGTGGCAATCTGCTTCTACACAGATTTGTGAGGGGGCTTCTAAAAGCTTATGAAGAAATAGAATGAAAAGAGAATGGATTTTTTTTCCCACGGATGTTTTGAAGCTGCTTGTATAGCCTTGGAAACCCAATAGGGCAATTCTACTCTGTTCTATAAGGAGGAGTCATAGCGTGGTGGGATTACTCATTGGATTGCTAACTGCAAGGTCAGCAGTTCAAATCCACCAGGCGGTCTGAGGGAGAAAGATGAGACATTCTGTTCCTGTAAAGAATTAGTTTCAGAAACCCTACACAGGGTCTCTAGGAGTTGGAACCAACTTAACGGCACCCAACCACGCCATCACCACTCTGCCTCATAGGGTGGCTGACTACGGAAACAGATTTGGTTTGGGTATACCTACTTGAAGGCCCTGCCCAGAAAGCTACCTTGTAGGTGCACTTTCCTGCCCCATTTCTTTTAAGTTGCTGAGTGAATGTCTTTCCTCCATTCTCCTGTTCTCCCACCTGACTGGTTGATTTTGCAATAAAGTCTGAGTGCTACCCTGAGCCCTCTTTCCAATAGCTGACCCATTTGGTCAGTCTCTTACTCACCTCCGCTCTTCTGCCAGAGGAGAGTTGGTGCAGAGACACGGATCAGGACACACACCTTATAGAAGCCAGGGCCACAGAGGAAGAGTAGGCAGGGGAATGGTCTCAGCTGTGATATGCTAGAGCAAAGCCCTAGTACCTCTCCCTTCAATTTTAACAGTGGCTCTGTGACTTCTTACCCTTACCCCAGCTCCTTTTAGACCCTCCTCCTCCAAGGCCACACAGTTCCTGGGTGGCATACATAATTAAATAATTGACTACTCACTGAAAGGTGTGGCGCTGTAGGTTAATGTGCCAGACTGCAAAGCTGTTTGAACTGCAAGGTTGGTGGTTCAAGCTCACCAGCTACTCCTTGGAAATGCTATACAGGGTCACTATGGGTCGGAACCAACTTGACAGCACTTAACAATAACAACAACAAGCTGAAAGGTTGGTAGTTTGGAGCCACCCAGAGGCACGTCGGAGGAGAGGCCCAGAGATTTGCTTTTGGAAGGTTACAGCCTTGAAAACCCAATGGAACAGTTCTATTCTGGGCACATGGGGTCACCGTGAGTTAGAATCCATTCAACAGCACCTAACCACAACAACACAACCCTAACTAGCTGACAAAACCAAGTCTAGAGAGGATCTGGGCCTTGACAAAGATCTGTAAGGGGTGGGACCAGGAGTTGGGTCCCTTTGTGTCTTATCACGTTGCCTCTCTGGTGAGGATAAGACTCCTGAGGCTCTCCTAACTCCCACCTGCCCCCTCACTCCACCCTGGTTATCCAGTCCCTTGTGAGAAGAGCATATCCAACATAATCTAGCTAGACACTCTAGTTCCTAGATGATCCTGCTTTCCACCGTCTTAATAAAGAGATGTCTACCCTTCCCTTGGAGTTCTGGTGTGGCGCTGTTGATTAATGCGCTGGACCACAAAGTTGGTTTGAATCGCAATGTTGGCAGTTCAAGCTCACGAGCTGCTCCTTAGAAACCTTATACACGGTCGTTATGGGTCAGAACTGACTCGACGGCACTTAACAACAATAACACCCTTCCCTTCCCAAGGACTCCTGGTGTGATGCTGTAAGATAAGCACTGGAATGCAAGGTCAGTTTGACCCACAAAGGTCAGTGGTTCAAACTCACCAACCACTCCTTGAAAACCCTTTATAGGGTCGCTATGAGTCAAAACCGACTTGACAGCACTTAACAACAACAACCTTTCCTCTGGGCGGTATAGTGGCTCTATAAGATAAACAATGAATTGAAAACCATAAGGTGAGCAGTTCGAGCCCATCAGCTTCTCCATGGGAGAAAGATGATACTTTCTGCTCCCCAAAACCCTGTACAGGGTCACTCTGAATCAGAACCGACTCAGTGGCACATAACAACAACCCTTCCCATCGTCTGAGACATGATTTCACTGAAGCCTTGCTGTGGTGGTTTATTTCAGAGCAAGCTTCACCAGGGATTGGAAATGTCCATCACTCTGGACAAAGAGATGATGCTGAGAAACGAGTTACTTGAAAAAGTGGAAAGAGAAACTGTACAAGCAGAGGAGGTAGGACCTCTCGGGTAGAACCTGCTTTTCTGATATTCGTCTCCTTCTGCTAACTCCTTCTGACTCAAGGACTTGAGTCAGTGTCTGCTAAGATCCAGACCATCTTGATTTATTGTCTAGAGAAGCCTAGACCATGAAAGCCAAAAGTGACCCATGGAGACATACCCTGGTGTTGTAGTGTACTCTGCAGAGTTAGGTTCTCGAGCCATTTCCTAAGATGCAAGTCATGTAATGCCCAAATAAGCCTCAAGAACCCCTTAACTGACCCAGAAAGTATGAGAGTAAAAGTTTGGTGTCTACAACCCTGTAAGGGATTATACATGTTGTTGTTGTTGTTAGGTGCCATAGAGTTGGTACCAACTCATAGCAGCCCTATGCACAGCAGAACGAAATACTGCTTGATCCTGGGCCAACCTCACTATTGTTGCCACACTTGAGTCCATCAATGCTGCTACCTGGCCAATCCATCTCGTTGGGGGTCTTCCTCTTTTTCTCTGACCCTCCACCTTACCAAACATGATATGCTTCCCCAGCAACTGGACCCTCCTGACAATATGTCCAAAGTATGAGAGACGAAGTTTGGCCATCCTGGCCTCCAATGAGCACTCTGACTGCACTTCTTCCAACACAGATCTGTTTGTTCTTTTGGCAGCCCATGGCACTTTCAATATTCTCCTCCAACACCATAACTCAAATGCATCA